AATGTTTTGGGTTGGAAGGGACCCCTAGAGGTCATCTAGTTCAACCCCCCTGCAGGAGCAGGGACACCGCTAACCAGATCAGGTTGCTCAGAGCCCCATCCAACCTGGCCTTGAATGCTTCCAGGGATGGGGCCTCCACTACCTCTCTGGGCAACCCCTGCCAGGGTTTCACCACCCTCATTGTAAAGAATTTCTTCCTTATAGCCAGTCTAAACCTACCCTGCTTCAGTTTAAAACCATTACCCCTTGTCCTGTCACAGCTGTCCCTACGAAAAAGATTTTCCCCATCTTTCCTATAGGCTCCCTTTAAGTACTGAAAGGCCGCAATAAGGTTGCGTTTACTTTCTTTTATCACTGTGTTGGTGGAAGAACTCTGCTTCTTCCATCACAAGATGTGATGCTTGAGTGTCTATCCTTTATGTTGCAGTGTTAGAATTCACTCCATGAAAGGAGGATAAGAACTGGACCCTAGTAGAGGATCTGTCCCATACGTACTCCACTAGACCTAGTGTCTGCGGTTGTTTTTTTTAATCCAACTCTGTATTTGTTGAAACACATTAATAGGTAAGGGGGGGGTGGAGGGCCATGATGAATATATTATCTGTATAATACCACAGTCACAGAGCATGACAGTCACTCTCCATTGTGCGTGAAATGTCAGTTAGAGATAGCATTTTGTTTGTGTGTGGGGTTTGTGTGTTGATTTTTAAGGTACTGAATTCAAAACTTAATGTGATATAGAAGCCACCCCATTTCTAACCAGCGTTCCCATAGTTACTGCTTTCCTTGTAATATCTCGGGCCTTATTTCTCCTCAGGCTTCCTGTCTTTGTCTGCAGATGGAATGACTCCATCCACTGTTGGCATCTTCTCCCTGTATAAGAACCTGTAGGCCATGGCCAAGTTGCTGGCTTTTATTTTCTCATGGATAAACTGAATAGTCAGGGGTCAGCTGAGGTCTTTGCCCTTTGCTTTCTGTATTAGGTGCTCTGCAGGGCAGCAAAGTTGCCAGTTTTTTAGGTCTTAACAGTATGAAGGGCACTGAAGCCCACTAGGGCTGATAAATCATAGAATCATAGAATCATAGAATGTTTTGGGTTGGAAGGGACCCCTAGAGGTCATCTAGTCCAACCCCGCTGCAGTGAGCAGGGACATCTTTAACCAGATCAGGTTGCTCAGAGCCCCG